AAAACTATTATCTTTATAAATGTCTTGTATTGTTTTACTTTCATTATTAGTTTGTATAATAAATGAAATATAATTCGGAATAATTGTTCAGAGTTTGCAAATTCAATTAAATATAATATAGTTGAATCCCCTGAGATTGTAAAGGCTAGCGACGCCACTGACATATATGTGATTTTGAGGTGCTAATACATTTATAGGATACAGCTGTACCAAGATCGTTTCCAGCCCGTAGGGTATCATTATGCCTTTATCAGAAAATATTCTATCAAAAGAGTCGAAGCAAGATTAAATTTTAAAAAGTTTCATTGCATATCAGCATTGGCAAAACTTTGAATAGAGAAATAGTTAATATTTATAATTGACGGGTAGAGTCCATGGTTGCCAGGTCATAGTTTTTAAAATGCGGGAGAAATTTGGTATTATGCGGGAGAAACATGAAAATTATGGTAGAAATATAAAAATTGGTAAAAAAATTTTTTTTGCGGGCGGCCTTCGGCCGGGATTTTGAATTGACTTAATTATCCGCCTATTATTTTTTATAATTAGTTTATATAAATACAAAGTCGGTAACTATTTTTCAAAATACAATAACATCTTGATTTATTAAAATATATTAATTTATATAAAAAAACCAACGATCTTTTTTAAATATAAAAAAAAGATTTTTTTACAATTAAAAATATATTTTATGCGAATGTTCCTCAAAACGACCTCAATTGGAAATCTACCGTGTGTGTATAACATTATAGGGATAGGCGCTTAATTATCAGGAATCACGTTTAAATACATAATAAGGTACTCCAAAATAAGATATAATACAGATGCAACTACAGTTGCGGCAATTGTACTTATCTTGTAGTACAACATTCACAGAGATACTTATCATTACAATGTTGGTAGAATCTTTTTTCCATAATAACGACTCTAATATAAATGAAAATTATACTTATAGAACAAAAATGAGCAAGGCTATCATTAATGTTTTAAGACCTAAATCCAAGAGGTCAATTTTTTACGATTTGAAAGATGGGCATATATATGCAATTCTAACAGATGCATCTATTAAGAAAAATATTTCCCTTGATCTTCCGATATTTCAACAAAATTAAGGTCGTTTCAATAAAACTATTAAATTTTTTCACCTTAAATAGTGAAAAATCTAAAGACATAGCTAACCATATAATATTAAATATATCAGATTCGAGATGATCAATAAATTGCATGTCAGCTTTCTGATCTGATAATGCCTCAGTGAATTTGGTAATATCAGAGTGTATTTACAGAAGTGAGTCAGCACAATGTTGGTTGCGATATGTTCCTAATACCCGCCATCGATAGAATTTTAAAATTTTATAAACCTTTAAAAAATATTTCTTAAATAGTCCTAACATTTTGAAATTTTTTTTCAATAATGAATGGCAGAGGTAAATTTAGGAATGATTTCACATGTAGAATGTGCAGTTGCAATCAGAAGAATAACAGAGATTCATAAAATTATGCTGCAGATGTGTCCATCTTTACAGTTCAAAATTGACAATAAATTTTATGGCTCCATTGCTAAAACTTAATTATATTTTATTTGAGATTTAAATAATAGAACTAAATGTTTACCGTCGTTATTGAGATTATAAAATTCCTGGCATGACATATTTTACATTATTTAACCATTAGTTTGTTTTCTAATGTTGTTAAATCCGATTTCTCTCTATTTCCAGGCAGTCCTCTTTAGGCTAAAAATGCGCTCGGATGAGGCATTAGAATGAGGTAAGGAGAAGTTTTGGCGAATCATAAAAAATAGATAGAATTACAATCTCTTCAAACAAGACATCAATGTCTTTCGGTATTTTTAATATATTTATTAAATTATAAAAACCATCAATTGATGGTTTCTGTTACAATGTCATAATATTTATACAATTGTAAATAGAGTTATTAAAATCAAATTTTGATTGTAAATATTCTAATTCTAAAATTGTCTTAATAAAAATATCTGCTTCATTTAAAAATGTATTAATTAGAGTATTATTTGAACATTTTAATATAATATTTTTAGCAATAGCATAAAATTTATTATCAATATAGAGATGAACAGAGCTGTAGCATGATTTTGTGAATCATTTTTTAATTTTTAATAAAGAATATTCGGATTGCAACTGAATATTAACTGCATGCAGTAGATTTCCTACGTGTGAAACGAATCCCAAATATGCTTCTGCCATTTCATACTCCAAAAATTTTTTCAAAATTTTAGGACAACCTTTAAAATCTATCTTTATTTAAGAAGTATTTTTTTTAAGGGTTTGTAAAATTTTAAAATTCTATCGAAGGCAGGTATTAATGACAATCACCTGATGATAGGTATATATCGCAACAACTCACACCATTCCAAGTCAGACCACTTCATCACCTCTTTTAATTCATTAACTCTTTTAGTTGAACTAAATACGTTAAAACATTTCATCACAATTATATTATTTCGACATCCACAGATAGTACATTCATTGCCTTCTTGCAAGAATTATGTAGTATATATGGCATATACAGCCAATTGGTATTAATTCATTTGTGCTGCCTCAATTCGTTAACTTTAGCTTTTGCCAAAATTTACAGAGGCATTATCAGCGCAGAAAGCTGGCATGCAAATCATTGATAATCCTGAATCAGCTATATTTACCATTATGTGGCTAGCTACATCGTTAGATTTTTCACTATCGAGGAAAATTTTTTAACAGTTTTATTGAAGTTTTTATTCTTGTTGAATATGCGAAGGATCGAGGGAAATGTCTTAATATTTCCCTTATTAGATGCATTTGTTAGAATTGCATATGGATGCCCATCTTTCAAATGGTCTAGAATTGACCTCTAGGAGTATTAAAACACTTGTGATAGCCTTGCTCATTTTTATTGCCACAAGTAAGGTTTGCACTGAAAGAAATTTACAAACTAGACATGTTTTTCGCATAAATATTTAAAATTTTATTTAAAAATATAAAAATAATCAATTAATGTCTCAAAATTATTATTTACATATTAAAAACGTTAAAATATTTTTTTTAAAAAATTGTGAGAGAAATTAAAAAATTTCGGTAGATTTTTGCGGGAGATTTCCAATTGCGGTAGTTTTGTGGGAGAAATTGCACGAGTCTCCCGCTGATGGGGGGAGACATGGCAACCCTGGTAGAGTCATCTACCGATTGTGTTTTTATAGAATGGAATAGGAGATTGGTTATACCTAATAAATTAATCAATGCAGTGCTAGGGATGATTCACCAAGGACATCCTGGGGAAAATGCAATAAAATTTTAGATTATATTGTTGGTGACCCAGAAATATTTTATAAATATGTTTTGGGTACCAGAAAAAATAAATCTGAAATCAAGAAGTGCCTCGTGTAGTAAATGAGGAATTATTGTAATATTTTATTTACATATTTTATATTTTATTTATCAGTTACTATTGATTATATATATGGATATTTTAATATATGTTTTATAATGTATAATGAGCGTAATATTTATGTACGAAGAACTTCCTAATACATATACATCCATTATATACATATTTCCTATGCAATAAAATGGCTATTATACAATTGTATAACCTCGGTATTCTTGGAATGTAGCTAAGAATTCTTGGGAGAGATCTATACTGATTTTACTGGACTGAATTAAATAACTTACGCCATATACGTTTGACTATCATTGGAAAACTAATGGATTAATTTGAGCGTATAATATGAACTTTTAAAGGTCGATATTGCCCAACTAGAGTCAATTGATCCACAAGAGGCTTTGATGCATGTTTTAACTACCAATCGACTAAGGGAGAATAGCTTCATAGGGAGATCTCCTGTCAGGATTACGTGGAAGATAATTGAAAACTAGTTTGGAATGGATTGGTAAGACCAAATGTAGAACATGATATTGAAAAGGCAAATGAAAGACAAAGTCAAAATCATGATTTACATTCAAAAGGGAGAGAATTCGAGATTTCACAATCTGTGTGGCTAAATGTAAATACCAAAGGTTGGAGAAAATGAGCGATTTAAAAAAAGGACAGTGTTATATTCTAATATCGTTGAAACTCTCGACATTGCTGAAACACAGTTGATTATTACGACTAATAAAAGTTCTTCGGAAGTTACAGAAATAGTTGTGCCAGTAAATGAGTCAAGTACAGATACTGCATTGTTCATCAACAAACCGTAAATACACAAAGAAGTTTATTGAGGAAATTTAACTTATTAATGTTTGAAGGAAATGTAATAAATTTGTATTTATTATTAACAAATTTGTATTTATTAGTTAAATGTAATAAATTTGTATTTATTACTTAAATATAATAAATTTGTACTTATTACTTAAATGTAAATACTGTGTATTTATTGTTTATTTATAAAAAAAATGGAACATTCTAATATTTAAAAATGTGATAATTTTAAAATATAATAAAGCTATATGGTTTAATTCATGATAGTTTTCTAAATAATTTACGGTCGTATTATTAATCTTTCAAATGGGGGGGGGGGGGTTCTCATACTGGCTTTATAAAATAGTAATATTATAAATAATAAATAGACATATGTTTTGAACAAAATATAATTAACATCATTTATCCCATAAAATTGTTTTTAATTTAAAAAAAAAATCTCGCTATTTAGAGGTGGAACTAATATATTTTTGCTCCCTTTTCCTTTCTTCTATTATTTGCTATCATTTTTCTCATCTTAAAGTTAGGTCCCCCTTTGCATTTAAAATCTATTATGTATATAAGCATCTTATGGGTGTGGGCTGTGCTTATTTTGTCCTTTCCACATCAGCCCATAGACGTTTAAGTAATAGTCCTTGGACTATTTCGCGTACAAGTACGTGCGGCTTGCCCACAAACGTGTGAAGGGCTCCTCATTTTTATCCCCTTTTAATTTGTCCAGTTAGATGGATATTGAGGAAAACCTAACGTAGCTCTGTTGTATCCACAACTAGAGGGCGTAAACGTTCTATATCACGTATCACGTTTATCCCATAAAATACTTTTCAAATGAAAATAAATGAAATATTGTATTTTTAAAACATGTCTTCTTATATTCATTAATATTTGTAAATCGCAATATGATTTTAAAGAAAATTTAAATGATAATTTGGTTTATAATATTATTATAATTTGTTTATTTTAAATTAAAGCCAGTTGTTGAACTTACAACAGGATATGTAAGAGGAAAGATTATTAATATCTATGACCCCATACCTCAATTAACAAATGAGCAAACATTCAGTCAAAATATTCAAGCTTTTTTAGGAATCCCATATGCGGAATCTCCTACAGAAGAAAACCGTTTCAAAGTTTTATAAATAGTATTGTATGCTTAATGAATTATTTTTAGCCTCCTAAATATAAAAAAAGATGGAATAATATCTATAATGCTTTAAAAGAACCACCCTTATGTCCACAAGAAATTACAAAATTTTTAGCTTTGTTTAAAAAGAATATAAATGAAGATTGTTTATATTTAAATGTATATATCCCTAATGTAAGATATTAGTGATTAAATGAGGATTAATATTTTACATGTTATCTTGATATGTAGAATATTAAGAGATTGCAGGATATAAAGTTAATGCCAGTTGTTGTTTATTTTCATGGTGGATCATATCAATATGGATGGAGCTCATTGTGGCCCCCTTATAAAATAGTTCAAAAAGATGTCATATTTGTATCTGTTAATTATCGATTAGGAATTTTTGGTATGTCATTTTATTAATAAGTTAAAAATGAAGTATATTTTTTAGCCATTTTATAATATAATCTATTTTTAGAAATGTAATACAATTTTTTCTTTTTTAATTATCTGGCCAGCACTGGTTTAGGGAAAAAATATTTAATAATTCTCTTATATGTAGATTGCAAATTCAATAAAAATATGTTAAAGTTTATTAGTAAGTTGAATAAATAAAAATAACAATATTTAATATTATATTTACCCAGAGATTGTTGTAACTACTTTGTTTATTATTTTACATTTTTTAAACAAAAGAGCGTTAAAATTTTTTTGTAAATCTTCATTTTTCTAAATAAATGCATTTATAAATAAATATATAATATATATATTTCTAACTGGCCAAAAACCAACTATTTAAAAAAACTTGCCAGATTCAAAGAGGACCAATCTGGACTTAAGCATCTCTAATAATGATAAACAATTTATTATATATATTTATTTAGGCTTTTTTACTACTGGTGATAAAGAAGCAACATCAAATAATGGAATGAGAGATCAAATATTAGCTCTAGAATGGGTCAGGACAAATATAAGATCATTTTCTGGAGATTCTGAAAAAATAACCATTATGGGAGAATCAGTTGGTGGTGCAGCAGTAGGCCTTCATATCCTCTCTCCTTTGTCTGGAGTCAAAAGTTATTCTATTTATAATATATTTAAACATTAATTTATTATTATATATTGCCAATTGCACTTTAAACTAGAAGTTGATGCAGTCTAGACTGAAGTCTAGCCTGCAGGCTGATATCTTCCACAAAATTATTTTATGGACAGGCCAAAAAAAGTAAAACTCTTTCAAAAATGTCCACACCTATTTCTACTTCAAATCCTTGCATCTGACATATTTAGCAAATCCATTTTTTATATTGGAATTTAAAAAATTTTTGTCTCTGTGAATCGATTTTTAAAATGTCAGATATGAGCGTAGCTGTAGAGTTCTACCAGTTGACCCATGAGCTTTGATCTATTTTTAAATTAGGCCAGGCTCAGGTTTAAAGATATATATTCTAATTATTAAAAAAGGATAACTAAAAGGCTTCTCATTAGGACAAAGAATAATTTTATAAAAATGATTTTAATTTTTATCAAACTAAAATTTTCCTTCTGGACTGGCTAGGCTGATTAAAAAATAAAAAATTTGGGCAGGAAATATATTGGTAATTATCTTTATTAACTATTTTTATCACCATTTTAATATTATATATATTTTTTCGTCTAATTACCCTCTTAATCGAACCCGAAACTAATCTGGAATCAAAACCTTTTTAGAAATGTAAAAGGAATGGAACTTTACAAAAGTAAAACTAATTTATATATTAAAAAGTGTAAGTTAAATTTTTACTCGAAACAGAACTCGTTTCTGATAATTGTTTTCCTTGCCTGCTGATCAGGCTTTAGGCCTGCAAAATTGTGGGCGGGACTGAGACCCTGGACCTCCAAAATCGAGACTATTTTGAGGGCCTCCAAATTTTGGTTTTAGTGTATCGATGTTGATTTTCTTTTTTTTTAAAAAAAAAATCGAGTATATTTATTTTGATTCCCCTATTTTGGTAACCTTGATTAGGATTTCCTTTTTTTGCTAATTTTGATTTCATTTTTTTTTCTAATTTTGATCTCTCTCTTTATTAGGTTAATTCTTTTTAGGTTTCGAACTTTATATTCCTTTGGGCCACAAAATGTCTTGACAAGACCATGCCTAACCAGTGTTAGTGCGCTACTTATTTTAGTAGCGGTAGTTAGCGCTCTATATTTAAAAAAATAGTGATAGCAGTAGCTCGCTACTAATTTAGAAAGTAGCGAGTAGCATGTTACTAATACACAATAAAATTGTTAAAATATTTTTTTAATTATATCTAAAATCATAATCTTTTTATTTTATTTAATTTTGAAATTAAAATATTTTAATCTCGGTAAAATAATGCAGGGTATAAATTACATTGTAAAATGTGCTGGAAGGTTTTATAATCAAACCAGACTAGTAGCGTCAATTAATGTTGTTAAAGGGCTCGTTTTAAGCCGATTTTTAAAAATGGCTAACTCAAACTAGAGGTCTGCAATTGGAGGGTTAAAAATATTTAAAACAGACGGGTAAAAAAATTTTGTTTTTTTCTTCCATATTAGTGTTATTTTTAAAATCGACTAGTCCAATATTTAAGCCAAAAAATTTGCGGTTCGAGATTTCTTTAAAAGATGCTTAAACCTTTCTGCCATCTATGTGCAATATCTTCAGGCCGTTTAAAACACTAATCCATATTTTTGAAATAGGATTCATAATTATTATCAAAATTTTAAAGAAAACATTTCATCGGAATTAAAAATAATAATTATTATAGTTAATTCTTGTCAACCGTTAGGCTATTCAAAAATGAATGTAATAGTAACAAATGGTAAATTATTTTTTAAATATGTAAGAACGATTCGATTCGAATGAAATATATATTTGACAAATTTTTTTTAATAATTCTTTTATTTGCTATAGAATAATTTGATCGAATATTTGAATTGTTCAGAATTATGATTAAGGTTTTTTGAGGCTAATGAAATATTATTTGGCTAAAATATTGAGTTAGCCGTTTTTAAAATCGACTTAAATCAAGCCGTTTAACAACACTAGCTTCAATGAGGAAACATTTAAAAATAATATATCCAGAAAATTTATTATCAATGTGTAGTTCATTAAAAATTTGAATCAAAGCTGTTCTATAATAGTTTTTAAGCTAGAAGATTTATGTGAAACATAGTATGTTTCAACAGGCCATAAGATACAATTTATAATTAATAGTAACATTTCATTTTATCATCAGTCATTTATTTAATGATATAAACATGCTTAAAATTAACCACTTATCTATTTATATGTTTATAAATTTTATCAAAACATGCTAAGAAATACTCATTTCAATACTTTCGCTTTCTAACCAATTTTGAGAGAAATTGGTTTAATAGATAAAAAGTTTAAGGGTGGTGGTCTGGCCAGTTGGCAAACATGACCATCCACTTATCCTTTACATAATTTTTATTCTAACTAATTAATTATAGACTGAGATAAAAAAGGCCATCTACTATGGATAATTTTTGAAATAAATAATAATACTATTGAAAATCCTTTATACGCATTTTTAAAATGTATATAAGTACTCAAATGAATATTTTTGATGATTTTTCTTATATAAAAAAATATGTATATTAAATTTAGTACGGCATTGCATGCTAGTGCTGAACGATTATTTAGTCATAGCTTATACTTTCTGATCATCGCTCTAGACTTGGGAAGACAGTATGAAAATGAGTGATCGGCACCAAATTTTTAAAAAATTTGTCCTGCCAGGGCCGATCCCGAACACTTTTTATTATTTGTCCGCCCGACCCGAATTATTTAATATAGAAAAATTTAATATTTTTTTGATTGTAAAAAAAATATTCTACATAAAAAAATATCAGCGCCTTGTTTCTTGCAAAAATTTATCAATTTTATTTGACAAAATATAATGATATCATATTTAAAAATATAAGCCGGTACGAAATTTTATAAAAAATATTAAGCTCAGGTACGGTTTGGGCCGTGACTTTCGGTTCCATGTCAATTCAGCGAAACCTTTATCGCGAATGTCGTTTACCTTTAATGAATTTTATATCGAAACTTTTATCGCGAATCTACAATAGCGAATATTATTCCGCAAAGTCACTATCGCCAAACAAATATCTAGAATTTTTTTTGGCGAAACCTTTAACGCCAATACATTATAGCAAAACTTATCGCTAAAATTTTATAGCGAAATCATTATCGCGAAACCCAAATTGCAAAGACATTCTAGCGAAAACTATTTCGCGAAACATTTATCACAAAGATATTATAACGAATTTAATATCACGAGATCAATATCGCGATGGTTGATAATAATGACTATTATATTTTGAAACATTTATTTTTATGATCATTTTAATTGAATAATATTTAAAAAAAAATAACTAGATTCATTCATTGGTTGACTTTTAATTTTCTTTAGTCTAATAAATATATATAATACAGTGCCGTATCCAGAATTTCCTTATAAGGGGGGATTTTTTTTTGAGGGGGGGGGGGGGTGGCTTCGCCCCCAATCCCCCTTAGCTGGCATTCGGCCAGTTTATTCCGGCCTTCGGCCGGTTCATATTTTAGAGCTATTCTTTTAAATTATTCATAATTCAATAATAATTACATTAATATTTTTAGCTTTTATTTACTAATTCGCGCTTATGGATATTTAAAGAAAAAATAAAGGGATCTGCATCGGGCCTAATTTTTTAAGCCCGGCTCGGCCGAAACCGAAATTTTTAAAAAAAGTTTTGCAGGCCCGACCCGAACCCGATTTTTTTTAAAAAAAATTTACCGACCCGACCCGGCCCGAATTTATTTAAATATAGAAATTAATTTTTATAGTTACTCAAAATTATAATAAAATCAAATATTTTTATTTTAAATAAAAAATTCAATATAAAATTAATAAATTTAGATATATTTATAAAAATTTCCAAGGTCCGACCCGACCCAGCCCGAATTTTTTTTAAATATTAGGCCCGGCCCGAACCGGGCCTAACTTTGCAGATAGTTAGGTTATAAACCAAGGTATATTATATTAAATAAATTTTTTTTAAATATAAAATTGAAATAAAGTTTAGTGTCATTTTTTTTTTATAAAATTGGCTTTAAAAACTAGCCTCAGCCTAAATTCTCGTACAATATCATAGAATAAATTTTTTTTAGTAAAAATACTAATTGTAATGTGTGTAAAATATTGACTAGAAATTTTTTTCAAAAACAATTTTTTTAACTTCTTATCAAATACAATATTATACAAAAAATTTACAACGTGGGAAATTTGCCAATTCATCAAGAATTTCGTTTGTCTTTGGAACCAAATATCTGCAGATATTTATCAGAGCTAACCCATTTAGCCGAGATTCGGAAGTATTATTTCGTAAATAAGTTTTCAACATTTTCAAGCTGGAAAAGGTCTTTTCAAGCGTACAGGTTGTGATAGGCAAATTTGCAAGAATATAAAACAACTTCAAAATATTTGGGAATTGAGCCAAGGTTTCCTTACACCGATTGAGCGCATCAATAGCATGCTTAGTTAAAATAGTCAAATATAATAAATATTTATACCACAATTCGAATTCACTGACTAAATTGATTTCAATATCAAGGGAATAAAATTTTGCTAAATATTTAATTTTACCAATAGTGGCTTCAGAAAACGAAGAAGGGTCTTTAGGTAATAAAATTTGAAGATTGCATAAGACTTGTTTTTTATCTAAAAACCGTACTTTAATTTGCGATAAAAAAGTATGTAAGAATGGGATGAAAATAGATATTTTATAATACACTTCAGTTGAGTCAAGATTAATTACATCAATTGCCTAAGTGCTAGACGAGGTTTAATTAGTGTTATATCAAATATTATGAAAATATTCATCTACATTCTCTTATTTACCTGTTCATATACATTTTCCGGCAAATCAATAACCTGAACCAAATCTAAATTTGGTTTTTTAAATTTTTACAAAGTAGTGAGCCATAGGAGAATAATTTATTAATAGCAGCAAAGATAAACTCTGGATATTGCAAGATTTTGACGAAGGAGGTGGGGGGATA